TTGCTTCACGTTCGAATACCCATCCTATGATGACCATATCCTCATTATGGAATTCTCCACAATTTCGTCCCTTGGGTCTCTGCCCGAGCTGGAGGGCTCAGCTCTCTTTCGGGCGGCACCGACAGACGTGTACCTCGCCGTCCAAATGTGTTTCGAGAGTGATGACTTCGACGCTGAGCACAACTTCCGGGTTACACATGTGGTCCCAGTGTCGGTGCTTACTTCCAGAATCCGACAGATGCTGGGTCAGTCCGCTCCCGTCATCCCATGGGAAGAATGGGGTCCGTCATATACGGTGATGACTGGCCCCGTATATTATGATCAGTATCTGTCTCGACCTATGCATGGGGTCGCCTCTCAGCGCCTCGTTGACTGGTTCCACCCAGCCCACCACACCGCAGAGGATACGGCGGCAGTCTTCGACTTTCGAGTCCACAGGCTTCGACGGGGATTGCAGTCCGGAAAAATGCAAGAACACGTTACAATGGACCCTGATGATACGTTTTGGGTCGTTCATTCAATGTTTCACCCTTGTGCCAAGATGACCTTCCGCCTGCCTCCCCAGGTGCCTCGGCCTACGGGAGGGCACTGGGATTTGGCGGTGACCACGGACAATATAGTCTTATATAATGTAGGTTTTCAGGTCACTATGAATTGTCACATTCTTAACATATACCCTGCAGTCTGACACGGATAACAAGTATTGCTACATTTTGAGCATCTAATGCAGAGTTATTGCAGGGACCTGAGAGCCGCCACATATCAATCTCCTCTCATCGACAAAATGTGTAGATTTTGGTCTTCCTGGCTGTCATCTACTAGTGTCATATTCGTGCTGGCTTCGTATCTATGAATTTTGCGGCACTCGAGGCTTTGGCGACTTCCTGTCTATCACTGTGAGACATCCTCCGGAGGCGAGGCCACGAAGGCCCACTTCTTCAGAGATACGCTCTAAACGTCCCATGATTGTCGTCAGCTATTTCCCTATAAGATTTTCTTATCATCTTATTAGTCAGGCCCACCCGCGGCCGGCCCCCCCCCCCCCCACTGACCGCGCGCAACACGGCGCGAGCTCGCAAGCTCGAACCCGAAATCCGAAATCCAACAGTATCCAGCGCTTTGATACTGCCTTGAATTGAAAGTCACCGCAGGGTATTGATTGTAGAGTTAGCTGATTGTCGAAATCAAAGGGGCCGCGATCGTATTGCGCTGGGCTCAGGCTCTCTAGGCCAAGATTTTCTCCTAGAGATATAGGCGCCCGGTCGAGTCACTGGCACTTTAGCTGAGGGCTCCAAATCGAGTGCCCTTGAGAACCGCCGAGGATGCTTCATTGGGTGCGTCGACTATCTACTAGAGTGATGTCGCTATCTCGCATCCCGTCGTCCAGTGGCCGCCCTCTGCTCGAACCTACCATGAAAGTGGAAGAAGAGAACTTTCCATGGTACGACCAGAACTCCAACAATCCCGTCCGAATTGGGGACATCTTTCAATTCCGATATCAAGTTCTATCGAAGCTGGGCTATGGTACTTCGGCTACTGTCTGGCTAGCGCGTGATTCCCCTCAGTCCGAATCTCGTCCACTTCGACGAACACGTTGCTCACCGCTGGGAGGACCTCAAGTCCTTTCGTACCATGGCACGGAGCATTTTTGAGGCTCTAAAGTTACTCCATACGGAGGCACACTTGATCCACTGCGGTGAGCCTCCGAGTGCATGGTCTGGATCGGACCTCATCACTTGCGGATTCTTATGCCTGCGCCAGGAGAACTTCTTGCTCAGCACGGCTACTGATGCTGTATTTCGAGCGATGGAAGAGCATGAATAGAGCCATCCTTCCCCGTGCAAAATCGAGGGGGATCGCGTCGTACACACCACGCCCTATGCGATGATACTTGATGACGGGCATTGTACTGACTGATTCAGGGCAGGTTCGTCCTGGCAACACTTCGACACCTTATTATGACGACATTCAGCCCTTCCCGTATCGGGAACCAGAGATCATCTGCTGCGTCCCCTTCTCGTATCCCGTCGATGTATGGAACGCCGCGGTTATGATACGTCACCTACGAAATCGTACCTCATTGACGCGCAGTAAAGTTCAATAGCTCTGGCACATGTTTGAGAGGAAGCCTCTCTTTCACCCATACACTTCGAAGGAGGAAGCGGTTGACCTGTTCCACCTGCGACCAAAGGTTCATGTGATTGGTCTCCCTCTCTCAAGTCTCCGGAGCGTTCCGCCGACCGGGAATTCATCCAACAATATAATTTTGATAGGAACGGACAGTGGATCGTCATCATTCCTCTCGATAGTACCATCACGCTGGAGGTGCGGGAGCAGCGTCTGGAGGGTAATGAGAAGGCGGAGTTCTTGCGCTTCATGCGGAGATGCCTGCAGTGGGAGCCGGAGAAGAGAACGACGGCAGCTGAACTCTGCAACGATCCGTGGCTTAAGCATTCCGAGAACAACTTGCATCTTCCGTTATAGGTGGTACGTCCGTCGGGATACGAACTTTCGGCTATAGCTGAGGCCGAACTGCAAACATTTGTTTCCATGATGCGATCATGTCCGTTCTTTGAAAGTGCGGGTTGCCAATGTCACTGACCATGTCAGACACAGACAGCAACCATATAACTCGGCCCTCTTCCGTCACGAGTATGACAGGCTTTTTGCTCTTGTAGAGGTGGCTCTCTAGCGGCGCGATTCTACCCTTCTTAAAGATCGAAGCTGACGAAATCGAGCAAACGTCGGCGGTATCTTCAGACCTACCGGCGAGTTTGTCGTCCAGTTCCTCCACAACCATGAGACCATATTCGACCTCCTCCTCGCCGCCATCCTCGCTCTCGAATTCCTGCGGTGTACTGTGTTCGCTTCGGCAGACTAGGACCGGAAAGGAGTAAGTCGAAGTCGTTCTCAAGGTCGTGCGGCCCGTTACCAGGGCAGACCGTATTGAGCCTACGTCCCCGCAGGGTCTTCGTTCTCTCATGCGCAGCCTATAGGCGGGCGCGTTGTTGTATACATCTTCGTCATTCTCGTGGTAGTAACTGCTCGTTATGTACATTCGAGGAGCATAGATACGCGCTGTCTTGATTCAGGTGCGTGGATGCGCCAGCTAGTCTTCAGGTTATGTCATTCACGCCAGGTAGGGTGGCTAGATAATGACGCGATATTTCGCGTGTGCCATAAAGCTGTCGCTAACAGAGCATACGGGTGGTAAATGTCCAGTTGCAAAGTTTCTCATCCACGCCGCTGAGCATGTCCTTCGCCGTTGAAGGTCTGGGGTATATCATCTCCTTGAAAGAGCGTGGCGCCTGGTTAACATTCGAGAGTATCAAACATATTTCAAGGGGAAATAGACTTGTAAAATGGATTTTAGTGAGAGCTGGACTTGTCCGCCGCTTTCAGACTATATGATACATATATAACAAAGACAAAGCAATAGAATCTGAGCAAAGTTGGGAAACTAATCCAGATCAGCCACGCAATCACCCCTGGGATCCCGAGCCTGAGTCCTGCCCCGAGCCCTTATTCTTGTTCACCTCTTCATCAACCTCTGCCTGTGAGAAAACAATCTTCTTCCCTCGTCTGACGGAAAATATTACAGTGTTGTCCGAGTTGATGTGCGCCGACGCGAAGTGCCTCTGGCTGAGGGGAACGCCATCTTCATTGACTCTAAAAAGTTTCACAGAAATGCAGCGGGTGCCGGGAGCGGTTTTTGACTCATGCTCCGTCCCGCTATGGCAGACCGGCTTAGACACTTGCCAACCAAGGCGCGATTATTTGTGGATTGCGCACCTAATATGGATGCCAATCCTTTCCTCGGGAAACTGGTAAATTCGTCAGACTAGTGCGTAGGGCGGTTCCCCAGAAGAGTTCGCCTACCTGCGCTTCAATATATCTCGCCGCAACTCTGAAACGAGCGAGTGAAATCCCGCTCAATTGAGCAAGAGGGCCCCGGGTGAGGATATGGTAGAACCGTTTGAAAGTATCCATAGGCGAAGCTGTTAGGTGAAAGTCTTTACAGAAGGAGAATGGGGGTGGTAAATCTTCGATGGCGCACTGGGGCGCGATGCCCGACGTATTTAAGGATATGGAGGGGTCCGCCGAGAGGACCGACGGGGCATCACACAACATGAGTTTTTGCGGAGCCTGTTCCGTATCGCCAATATCATCTTCTAGCTTTTGTTCCATTAGAGTTATTGGGAAGTTCGATATAGGAGCTGTGTGAGCCAAGTTAGGTTAGATATAGAATAATGACCGCTACTAGCAGACCCACCTTCGTTCGCCGCGTGTCTTCACTCGCCCTGAGATATCACGCAGATGCTTCTAAACGCCGCAGTGTCCGAGATGACAGTCTCTGACTCGACCATTGCTGTGAAAATCCCCAACATCACAGTTTCTCGCCACTTTATTGTCTCAAAAGAGCGGTTGACTGGATCGTCTTCGCCCAGAATGCATCCGGTATCATACCGGATGCATTCTGGGCGAAGCATTCAGATAAAATGAAACAATGGCTGATCCTTCTCTTTGGCTGCGTTCCGGGCCTGATGCCACGACATTTGGTGAAGATGAGAACTTGTGCAGCAATACTGCAGTACCAGTGAACTTCAACTGTAAAGAGTGCATGCGTCGATCACGTGCCGAAGTTCATGGTGACGGCCACGTAGTGAACGCCACTTCAACTTGAACTTGCGCTTCACGTACGGTAAGTTACAAATACCCTAGACTACAGTCATACCCTGATGTCCTGGGCTTCTTGGCCTTCTTCCTTGGCTGGATACGTAGGATATTGTTTCGCATTTAGTCCAATCCGTGAAGTCGAAATTGGCGGCGGCGGCGATCATATTACGTCGGGCTTTCCGGGTCAAATTTTGTTCCCTGAGTCGGTGCGCGTAGCCACCCCACCGGAGGGTACCAGTTTAAGTATAACCCCAGATCGTGAAGTACGAGGGTCATTGAGTCGTCATAACCGCTGAGGATGTTTCGCTGGGCGCGTCGACTGTCTACTATGTTGCCACCTCGGGCTCCCTCTTTACGCGGTCGCCCTCTACTTGAAGCTACCAAGAAAGTGGAAGAAGAGAACTTTCCATGGTACGACGAAAACGCGTACTATCCCGTCCGCATCGGCCAAGTCTTCGAGTCTCGATATCAAGTTCTGACGAAGCTGGGTTATGGTACTTCGGCCACGGTCTGGTTAGCACGCGATTCAGTGTAAGTTTTACGCGTTTGCTGGTTACATGCCACTTGTTCAGATAGCTGCGTCTGTTTATCACAGGGAAAATAAGTACGTAGCGATCAAAGTGTGTACAAGCAATTATCCCAGCGTCCCACGAGAGAAGGCCGCCTTTCAGCGCTTACGCTCCATCCGCGAGTCCTCTGTGGTCCAGAAATGCTGGGATAACTTCGTTGTTCGAAGCACGGAGGGTACTGTTCACGAATGCTTTGTGCTTCAGCCACTCTGTCCGAATCTCGCCCACTTCGGCGAGCACATCGCCCACCGCTGGGAAGATCTTACTTCCTTCCGTGCCACTGCACGGAGCATCTTCCAAGCTCTGAAGTTCCTCCATACGGAGGCTCACTTGATTCACTGCGGTGAGCCTGAATCCGTGGTCTGTCCTGCTCGGACCTTATCACTACCGTTTTCGTAGATCTGCGCCAGGAAAATTTCTTGCTCAGCACAACTACTGATGCTGTATTTCGAGCCATGGAAGAGCATGAAGCTAGTGAACCCTCCCCGTGGAAAGTTGATGGGGACCGCGTCGTGCACACCACCCCTTATGCAATGATCCCTGATGATGTGTCGGGCATTGTATTGACTGATTTCGGCGAGGCGCGTCCCGGCGACACTTCGATGGCTTATTACGACGACATTCAGCCATTCCCGTACCGTGCACCAGAGATTATCTTCTCGATCCCCTTTTCTTATTCCGTCGATATATGGAATGCTGCAGTCATGGTGCGTTTTCAACCATTTTGTTGTTGTTCGTACTCTTTGTTATGATCTGTAACATCTTTGCAGCTCTGGCATATGTTCGAAAGGGAACCCCTCTTTCACCCGTACACTTCAAAAGGCGAAGAGGTCGACTTGTTCCACTTACGACAAATGGTCCACGTGATCGGTCTACCTCCCTCAAGTCTCCTCGAGCGTTCCGCCGACCGAGACTTCATCCACCAACATTATTTTGATAGGAACGGACAGTGGATCGCCATCATTCCTCTCGATAGTACCATCACGCTGGAGGTGCGGGAGCAGCGTCTGGAGGGTAATGAGAAGGCGGAGTTCTTGCGCTTCATGAGGAGATGCCTGCAGTGGGAGCCGGAGAAGAGAGCCACCGCAGCTGAGCTATGCGATGACCCGTGGCTCAACCCGGAATAGGGCCTTTCCACGCCATGTATATTTTACCGGCTGGTTGCATGCATCCTATGTCTACGTGTGTATTTCGCCGTGCTAGATACACAGTTTCTAGCTCATGTTCACTTCTCACTTCCCAAGTGTGAGCTTTGACGTAATCGCTTAGAGTCGTGTCAGACTCGAGCCTGAGATGGAGGAAGTACAACAACACAGGAAACCCGGCGGATACTAGATCGTGTTGCCTGCAAGATTACGATCAGAAAGGCCTTCCAGGCCCTTCCGCAGATGAACCGTGTTCACCCCGGCCCCTTTCACAGCAATAGCTCTTGCCTCGGGCAATCCGGCGTACAAACCTTAACTCCACGGATTGATTCCCAGGACGAGTCAGGATTGAGAATTACAATACATGAGATCCGACCTCCTGGTAGCGTCCGAGTCCATCATTCTGTGCTTAACCTAAGTTAGCTTGTAAGGCTCTTCTAGTTTCGTCCCTAACACGCCCATTATGCGCGCTACCGGTATGGAAGCGACATTTCGTGCGCAGAAATCAACCTACTCGCCAAAACCACTTCAAGTTGGACGGCAATGCGAGGCACGTCCGACGGATTACAGTCGTTCTCCGCCGCTTCACTGCTTCGTGGGGGAACGATAAGCAGCAGGAGGGAAGGCGCCTTCGGAGTCTGATCCCCAGGCTCAAACAGCAGAAGCTGCTTGGGATCCTTCACACAGGTGTCGTCTTCCCCCGACGTTTTTGAATAGGGAAGAAAAACAAATGGGAGCAGCCCCTGTCTTTACGAAATGCGAGCCAGAGGGAACCATGAGTTATACTAAGTAGAATCAACTTGAATTTACGCATGTGGTGAGAAGACTGCCCTGCTGGCATCGGGCCCTAGCACATCTTTAATGGTCTCAATAACATTGCGATATTCTAGTGATAGTGATAAAACTGGTAGCGTATCACTCCTATCAGCTATGACCGCGGTTCAATGTTCAATGATAAACTTATAGGCCCATGTCTGGCCTTGTCCTAGGCTATATACAACCCTCCTCGATATCCAGTAGATAGGTGAGCAATCTTGTGTAGGGAGGCTAATCTAAGTCAACTACACGCCCAATCCTTCCTGAGGTTACAGGGATCTCCCGCCCTAAGTCTCCCGCAGATGTTTCCCTCATGATCAAAGATCCGTGAGACATTAAGTCGAGCTCCTTTGGGCCGGGAGATCGGTCCATCAGGAAATGGCATGAACCTATATTCCCCAATATAGCTTATATAGTGGGCATAGGAGCCCAGGTAAACCCTGGATTTTTAGGTTTATATAAGAACCCCCAATGTTATATAATTTCTGCCCTCCTATGCAGACCTCTATAGGCACATAGGCACATAGGCAACTTAGGCAACATAACCCATAGAGGTCTATATAGGGAGCTGCAGATAACCGAAAAAATACAATGAAAAGTTACTATTTATGCTATTCTCCGACATCTGTACTTGTTTCTATGTGAACTGGATATTAAATTGGCACACTAGAGTACTACTGTACATGACTGAATGTTATTAAGAAAAATGCATCAACACCCTGCACCACTCTTGCCTCGGAGAGGGACCTCTACCATCCTGTACAATCAGAAGTCAGTCCAGTAACTCGAGCCTCAGAAAGCACGCCTACGTTACGGTCGTTAGATGGCTTGTAGCTGCTTGTACAAACACCGGCTATGTACACTCTGTTGACCAGGTACAGCAAGAAAATGCAGCTGCGCATTGTACTTAATTATATACGCTGGACGCCGGTGGCTGAGCGTCGAATGTTCGAGATAATGATGTCATTACGCCACCAGCGTGACTCGCGCGATGCGCTAAGTTCCACTTTTGAATCTGCTGTCTACTGACAACACCAGATTGCTAACTCAAATGCGCGCATCCAAACAGATCCTCACGAAGCTCAAGACCTGCGCTTACCATCAGCCATATCCCGCTCTTTTTGCGCTCGATATGTGTCCCGTCGCCCACATAACCGCCGGCAGTGACTGTGTGAGTGCCCGGCCATCATCCGAGTCAGCTCGAGTGATAAGGGTTAGCGCCGGTGCACACGGCTGAAACGAGTGCAGGTACGTTGCTGCATTTACTATCTCAATCAAACATCATGTTAACTGCTCTCTTCTCCCTCGATATTCCCCGCCCGCGCTACATATCCAGCCAACAACCATTGAGGCTGCTGGAGACCGCCGATGCTCATACGAGCCGGTGCTGCGCATATCGAGCACTGCAACCTCTCGCCACCCCCCTAATCCATCCATTTCACTCCCGCAACATGGGCACAACTCGTACCTGTACCTGCACTCAATCTGCATCGACGGGTTGGGTCAGGTATGGGGATTGATACGGGCACAGGTTGGTTGTAGGATTTTGGTATTGAGAGTACCTTCAGCAGCGCGTTTTTGATACCCGCCGGGTCACAGGTACATCGGCACACCACACGTTGGTACCCATACCCATGAATGCATGGGTTTTTTGAACAAACACATGCATACTGGTGCAAGTTGCATTCGGCGGGACCCGTGACCAGCCGGGTCCCAAAAATGCGTCGGTCGATGTGCTTTCAAAACTGGTACCTGTGGGTACCAGTGTACCTGTACCTGACCCTCCGCGCAGGTTTTGTGATGGGTGGTATACAGATATGTGTCAAGACACCCGCGGGTGTATTGGTGCAGGTCCCTAGTCACTGTCTGCTGCATAGAGGGCTTATGCTCCTGCAGCACCATTGTTGGGTGTGCTGTCTTGGTCACTGTTGGATGTTTTATTGTTGTATGGTGTGTTAGTGCATCATTAGTGTTAGGTTACTATACTATGCAGAGCAAATGAATTGTATCTTGTCTACCATATGGTTTTTCTTTGACTTCCAATTCAACACACATTCTGTCAGAAAATGACTTGGGATGATCTCCTTCTGAAAAATCTTAATAGCATTCATAGGTGCCTCTGTGCAGACTATAATGGTTTCTTTCTGAGGGCAATACCTACACCACCTATATGGAATCAAGGCAACTGCCTATATCTGCATATATAAAATGGCTAGTCCTATAGCAAGTTCAGTAGGCTATGTAATTTGTGTGCATCTAAACAACTTTTGCCTTTTCCTGATGTCCCTGGCCATCAGGATCTGTCACAGGTGTTGTGTCTGAGCTCGTCTGCAGATTCCCGGTGGGACATCACATCTGGAAAATGCAAAACCGCCTTTCGGCATCTTAGAGCAATCGTTTGGCATTTAGGCGCCCGACTTGGCTTACCTCCTCCTTATTCAAGCCTCAAAGAAGGCCACAAGCGCCGAAAAAGTGGGCCTTAAGATGTAGTTAAGCCAAATCAAGCCAAGTCCCTGGCCAAAGTCAGGTAATGTTTTGCTGATGCACAGGGATGTTAGCTGGGAGGTCCATTGGAGGTCAGGTGAAGACCTCAAGATTATACTATGCCTGGGTAGGATGTCACTGCCTGTATTACAGTGGCGGACAAAAGTATCTGCACTGCCGCATCTTCGGGGGAAAAGCGGCTGTCTTTGTCTCGTAGCTTACACTTTCATTCGAGAAATTGTATGTACATGAAGATAGTCTAATATACTACCTTCCCCACCAATTTTATGGGGTGGCAGCTTGGAGGATTATGAGCCAGGGAGTCAGTATGCCTCGACGTGTGACAAGAGTGACTGTCACAGTGCTGTTTCCGTTGACAACCGACCGAATCCTACCCTTAACTTGACTCCCCTGCCCGAACTTTGCTCACATACAGACTCTCTATGACCTACACATCACCATCCAAATGTGGCAGGATCGTCGAACTCTACAACTCTGGGTGCAAAGCCGATGACATTGCGAAGCGGTTCAGCATCTCAAAGCGGGCCGTGTTCGACATCGTCAAACATTACAAGACTACTGGGAGTTGCTATCCCCATCCCAAATCAGGCCGTCCAAGGAAGCTCACACCCCAGGACCGCAAATTTGCTGCCCAGTTGCTTGACAGAGGCCGGTGCCGTAATGCCGTCGACCTGCGGGACAACTACTTTGAACATGTCACTGCCCGGACTGTTCGCCATGCCTTGCACGAGGAAGGACTTCATGCTAGGGTTCGTAGGAAGGTCCCCTTCCTGAACGCCAAGCATCGGGCTGCCAGGTGGGCTTGGGCGCGTTGTGTTGCAGGTTGGAGTGTGGGGGTCTGGAAACGGGTCATTTTCTCGGATGAGTCCAAATTCAATTTATTCACTTCGGATGGGTGGGATTATTGTTGGAGGAGGCCAGGAGATGCAATCCAGCAGCGGTATACCCAGAAGACCTGGAAGCATGGTGGTGGGCATGTGATGGTGTGGGGATGCATGACATGGAAGGGCGTTGGGTGTCTTGTTCGGATCGAGGGAACCATGACAGCAACAGAGTATGTCCAGATTCTTCAAGGACAGCTTCTAGGGACCATGTCGGACTATAGGATGAACCCCCGGCATTTTATCTTCCAGCAGGACAATGATCCAAAGCACCGCTCACGCCTTGCCCGAACCTGGTTCGAAGATAATCTTGTCCGTGTTCTCCCCTGGCCAGCTCAAAGTCCCGACATGAACATCATTGAGCATCTATGGGACCACCTCAAGCGGAAAGTACAAGCCCGAGACCCAGCTCCCAAGAATCTAGATGAGCTTTGGGCTGCGATTGTGGAGGAGTGGTACCGGATTGATGTCGCCACAGTACGCCGCCTATACTCGAGCTTACCCCGGAGGGCCCTGGCTCTGAAGAAGGCTAAGGGTGCTAATACAAAGTACTAAATCAGGTCAGTCATCCAGGCCGAGAATTATTTTTTATAAATTTATTGATTCCATCTAACCAGTTCTGAGGGTACCAGGTTCGAGATGAATTTACCTCCTGGAAGCAAGGAGTGGGGCATCTAGGGCTGAAAGTCTGTATGCATTTATCTTACATAGAGTAGTTACAAATCATGAATATACATCGATCCATGTTGCCCCCGATCTGCCCAGAACCGTGAAAGTGGTGGCAGTGCAGATACTTTTGTCCGCCACTGTACCCAGTGAATGCTGTACTACTACTGGTGGCACATTGCCTGCTACATGATACAGAATGTAAATAGCATTCTAGCATTTAATTATGGGAGCCTGTAGGGCAGACGAACGGTGACTGCAGGATAAACAGTGGTTCGAGGGACTTAACAGATTTTGCATCTGCTGCCGCGAGACCAAATTTGAGTGGAGCTTGAATCCCGAGCAAGTTAACTCGAAGTTTTAACCGTCATCTTCCTCTGCCACCACACCGTCTTGCCACAATCCGCACCTCTTTTGCGCAGCTTTCACATCGACCGCAATGCCTCAAACCACCTGCCATATATCGGCAACAGCCCGTGAGTGTATAACCAGCATTCCCCAAGTTTCCTGTGTTTGACAGTGCACTGTCATATCAGATCTGAGGCTGTGGATAATATTCCGGGGGTTGCATTGAAAGATATGTGTTGGCTCATGTGTATGTCACCTTCAGATTGTTTAACTGCTCTATTGCATGTTGCAGCCATTCTTTTCTTGGGTCATTGTCTACAGCCAGGAACAGTGGTGGGCAGGGTGAGGCTACATGGTATAATCAATGTTGTATGTTACGAGTCCTGAGGAATGAAGGAAGAGTCTTTACCGGGCTTGTGCCAAATGTTGAGTACCGTGGGAATGTAGTTGCCGAGAAGCTGTGGGAATAATGTTTGTAGTCTCAAATTTCAGTGATTGCCACAGTGCTCTTCTGCCTGGACCTCAGAGAGTCTGGACTTTCGAATATATTATATACACTATACAGCAGATGCACACAAATATTTTTTTGATTTTATGCTTGTTCTGTGAGGTCCTGTGGGCGTGTCTTTCCGAACCATGACTACAACTGGTTTACTTATTGAATGCTTGTCATGGGAGTATAATGGTGGAGTTTAAATTCAGAGATTTCTGCGCTGGTTGGGATTCTTGCAATCTGATTGGCTGCATGCTCATTTGTAGTGTACTGCCAATTGACTTCAAAGTTTTGTAGTGGGGACTTTAACCGTGGCAAGCTATGACATAGTTGGAATGCAGTTTTGCAAAACTTGCAGTGCAACTACATCATAGCCATACTCTGCCCCAACCATGGCACTCAGACCGCCATAAAAAATGGAAAAAATCCGCAAGAATTTGAATATATTGCTGGAGTCAGATGTGGTGTAATTAGTGCTATTGATACACCACCAAGTCTAGCGCAGGTGCTATGCATGTGGCCGCGGCGCGTGAGCCACCGGCAAAAGCCACGACGTAGGCCGGATCGTCGCAGCTGCGACACACGTTTCCTGAATAATGGTTGCAGCATGCACGCACAGCAGGTGTCTTGCGTGTACCGCTCCCTGTGCCTCACAGTCGTAGATTCTGGAGGCTGTCAGCGGAGATAGTTGATGTAGGCCTGTATCGTGGCCCGCTGTCAATTGTAGGCATTCTCATCTGTGCTCCCTCCGGCCTTGAACATGTTTTGATTACTGCTTTCTGTATTGTGTACACGAAACATACAGAATATATATTGGAACCATGCAGAGAATACATCCAGACTACTAGAGCGACACAATACATGCATTAGGTCAGATCGACATTTGCCACTATAATGCTCAATCCTTGCTAGGGGCCCTTCCGACATCGCGCACCACGTCGTTCACTGATTTCACCCAGTTAGGAACGGTAACGTTCGTGTCTGGCTCTTCACCATCTCCGCGGCCATACTTGCTGATATCATCGTCGATGAATAGTTTCAAGCAACTAAAATCTCATTAGAAGATGTCAGTCTTACAGGGACAGGCGGCTTACTTCGAGGCAGTGATCTTATCCCCTTTCGCGTTCGTCCGGATCGCATCGAGCACCTTATCGACCTCCATCCAGAACTTCCCCTCGGTCTTTCCATCCGTCCAGTAGACATCTCGCTATTAATAGAGTATCGTAGTGTAAGTGACAACGTGCGAAGGAGAATGATTAATTATACTAACCATGATAGCACAACGTGCAATGAGCTCCAGTGTTGTCACGCATCCACTCACCCCCACAACCCTCCGAGCTAAGGTGTAGATATCAACGCCGGAGTCAGGGCCCGCCTTCTTGATCTAGCAAGAGCCATGAAAAGGTGAATGCCACCGCAGTCGTTCTAGAGCCCATCTCATCTTTGATAGCACGACAGCGTTGCGTCAGGTGAGTACTGACTTCTTTCTCGACTTCCTCCCAATGCGCCCGATTCTTCTCAATACCGGCCGGTAAGTCGAAGTGTTCTTTCTTCATGATCTCCTGCATCAAAACTTGATATACCATCTTGTAATTCAAATCAGGAAGATGTTACTGACCAACAAACACTTGCTCGCCAGTTTCTCGCGGTAGCCGTACAGGGACGGGTCAACGAGAATAGCATGCGCATATTTCTTGAGGTTTGTCTGTGTGACCGCCGACAGACCAGACAGCTTCAGGTAAGTGTATCCACAATCCTAAGAATTAGCAAGTACTCGCCTTCAAGTTTTCAGACGGACCAGCCCACATCTGGATGCACTGCTGCTCGATTGTCTGCATTGTTTGATCTGTACGCACCAGACATGCATAGATCTTGGTAAGCTGTTTGTCGATGCTTAACTGCCAGGACATTCACGTCGGGTGTTAGTGCGTGTGGCTCCGGTGCTGTAATTCCACTGCGAAAGGCCACATGACTCACTTTATTGAATGCGAGGACTTCGGCGGTCCCAACGGCATCCAGCTTGAGTTTCTTGCACTCCACTTCGGTGAACAGTTTCTGTTATAATTTTCCCATGCTTATCTCATTCCATTTCCATTCTGAGCATTGCTATTGGACAGTACCTTTCTCTGAGTAGAACTTCCCATGGACGCTATCTTCTTCCCACACGTTATCTCCCTTGACTCACCTTCTACCAATGGGCGCCCTTGTATTTCTCATTTCTCTGAGTTACGTTTTCACAGGATAGCTTACGCGTCCTTTCTTATTGTTCTCTTCTTTGGGTATTAACCCCTATACCAGTTACTATATATACTGTAGGAAAACCCATGTATTCCTTAGTTCAACCTCCTGTTGAATACAGCGATTACCTGGACTCTTGACTTGACCGTTGGCATTGGCCAGACCTACCTTTCAGTACGCTTACTGAGGTAGTGACGACATAACTGTTGGCACGTGGCCCAGTTATCTCAAGACGATTAGTTAGGACATCGCTTCCTAACAGTTTCAAGTTCATCCCTTGTGAACGACCCAGGGCTGTGGAAGATAGGAAGGGTGAACTATTTGAAGGATTACGTGCCAAATCGCCCAGGTGCTCTTCCTGTTCTTCGTCTAACGTATCAAGTCCACTAAATGCATCGTAAGTACGCTTTGTACCTCGATTCTCTGGGGATGGTGGTGCTGATGATGATCGCTGAGCTGGTGTGGCAGGAGACTGCGGCCGATGCGGGACCTGCATCGCAGATGACAGGCGATTCAAATCGACCATAGTGACTTCGAAAGGCAAGCAATACGATTTTTTGAAGAGCACAGAGCGGAAAATGAGACTGATTTTCTTCAGCTGGAGGCAGAGTGGTGGGTGAAGTCAAGAGAGTGGCGCGAAGAGTGCCACGCGAGACGCGTCTTGCTTAAATAATACGTGTGGCTTTGTGTGGCTCTGCAGATTGACACGAGGCCCGGCCTGTGGCACTTGTTTGC